AGTCGAGCAGTTGACATTTTTCACGATTACGCTAAAAGGGTAAATCTGGCGAATATTTATTTGTTTGAATTCACAAGGGAGATGTTCAATTTTGTAACAATAGCCGAATGAATTATGAGCGATACACCTTACACAACAAAAAGAGCTTGTCACTGATTATTTAATTAATTCTTTTGTTTTTTTTTAATTGTTTTTATAAAAATTATACAACATTTCTTCCCATAATAAAACTATTTTTACAGACGTAATACATTTTTGTGTTTAACGCACGTACGTAAAATGACTTGAACTAATCGTATATACTTTATCATGGATTTGCAAACATTATACATTGAAAAATTGACTGAAATTTACGATTACGCAATGCGACTTGAAATCCAAATGCATCATTAAACGCACAATGTCCATAGTTGAGAGTTAAAAAAACAGTGGCGAATAAATTATAAGCGTCGTTAAGTCAGCTGTTTTCGCACGGACGAGGACGAGGAAAGCGCGGCGGAATAGAGAAGGAAGAGCGCGCCGAGAAGGTAAAGGCGCCATCACACCAAATCCGCCGCATCAGCTGTTTCGCGACCTCCTTTCCACGCGGCCCTCGAACGAGATTCGTCTAGCGCGCTAAGTATAGCCGACGTTGCTGCAATCCCGCGCGTATGCGTACGCATCATCATGCGGACCGAATCCAATCGGGACGACAATCTGTCGAGAGGAGGGAGAGAGATATCGATACGGGAATGAAAAATGGAGTCGCTCATTAATGCGGATTAAAGCGATATCGGGTACGGAAAGTCGCACGCCACGCGGCATACAAACTGCGCTAAATAATGAACTCGTGACAGGAATTGACGCGCTTTTCGCGCGATTCTCGCGTTAACGAGTGCGGTCGACGCGTTTAACGAACAATGTCACGTGAATGTCGCGCGATTTCGTACTTCAGCTGACTCGCATAATGTATTTTCGAATTGATCACGTTACCACTCTCGTTTCACACGGCTGGAAATCTATCGCGCAATTTTAATGGCAATCTCGTTATGTAAAACAATGATATGGATACATTTTTGTTAATCAACTAGTAATTAATCCGTAACGTTTTGTCCTTATATGTCCGCCGGAGACACGGTGTCGTAAGCAGAAATTGAAACCGGTATAATATCGCTGACTTCATTCCCCGACGTTGATGAATAAAGAGATCGTTTTGCGTGTGTCTGCAGCTTCGAAATCTTTGTGCTCGCCGAAACAGCGCCGGTTTCAATCCAATATGTTCTATATTCGATTGCGAGCGACGTTGTTCGCTCCGCTCGAAACACCCGCGGTCTAAAGCAAACCGAGTTTGCGGACATTAATCCGACGGTGTTTACCGTCGAATCGTTCAAGCATTTCGCGATCGATCGCTCGTAAAACGCCCGAGCCGCCGCAATGAGCCACCAGCAGCATCGATATAATTCCACCTGATGAGAAAGAGACCTTTACGTGTACCGCCTCCGTGTTTCTTCGAGTGGAGAGTGCGCGCGCGGGCGAGAGAGCGAAAGGAAGAATGGACGGAAGAGCTGCGCGGAGTTATGGGAGAAAGGCGCGAGAAAGGAAAAGCCGGAGTGAAGCAATGAACAATCTGTTGTCTCGCGAGCGCTTGAGATAACGCACAGACTCGTCTGATATGCATGAAAATGCAGAGAGGAAATGCGAGATATAAAAGAAGAGAAACAAAAGAAAGTCCGCTTCATTCTTCACGCGATACTTCACCTCCAACTTTCTCCTCCATTCGATCGAAAAATAATATCGAAAGAAATGCAGATAAAAATTTTACAATCTCGACGGAAAATTTTCTTGAAACATTATACGTATGTCGCGGAATGAAGAGCGAAAGGAGACCGACGAGCTAGAGATTAGAGAGAGGCGTATTGTCTGAAACGTCGTAAAAGTGAGATAAAAAAAAAAAAAGGTCAGAGAAAAGGAAACGTGGGCCAGTGGGAGGGGCGATCGTCTCGCCAATGACAGCCAAGAAGAAAAAAAATGTGGGGTAGCAGAAAAAGACGGAAGGAATGAGGAGGCGGAGTAGAAATTGCGACTATAGCATGGACACCTCGCCAATGATGAGCCTGGAAGGAAAGGAAAAATGCATAGAAAGAGAGAAAGACGGAAGGACCGAGAGGGCGGAGTAGAAATTGTAGATGCATGATGGAGAACGGCGGGAAGGAGAAACGAACTGGGTAGAACGGGAGACTGCGAAGGACACGAGGAAAGACTTTAGAGGGACTAGGAAGAAGCTGATAGGATATCGCGCCGGTAATCTGCCCGCGGCGACTCTCTCGCTCCATTCTTACGTGTTACGCGCGCAAGAGCGCGGAGCTGGCTCTCGTATTACACCATTGCGGCGACGAGGAGCGCCTCTAATCCGGCGCGTTCGAGCGACGAGGACGGGAACGGCGTATAGAGCGCCGGACTTGTATGCGGTCTTCGTGTGCGTTAGAGCGATATTAAGAGAAAGAAAGAAGAGAGAAGAAGAGAGAGAGAGAGAGAGAGAGAGAGAGAGAGAGAGAGAGAGAGAGAGAGAGA